CCATTCTCGTTCATTCCATTGACATGGTTTCAGAGCAGGCCCTTCGTTAGGACCGATTTTTTTAGGGCCCACCACAGCGCTGCCCAGCTAGCTGCCCTGCTTGCTCACGTGCCGCCCCTAGCGACCCTCGTGCCGCACCTGCTACCCCGTGCGCCGCCCTCTTGCAGCCCGCCTGTCGACCCTAGGCCCCGCGCGCCCGCCCCTTGCGGCCCGCCCGTCGACCCTAGGCCCCGAGCGCCCGTCAACCCTAGGCCCCGCGCATCCCGTCGACCCTAGGCCCGTCCCGCCCGTCCACCCTAGCCCCCCCCCCCCCCCCCCCCGTCGACCCTGCTGCCCCGCGCGCCCGCCCGTCGACCCTAGGCCCGGCTCGCCCGTCGACCTTAGGCGCGCCCCGTCGACCCTAGGCCCGGCCTGCCCGTCGACCCTAGGCCCCGGCCCCCACCCGTCGAGCCTGCTACCCCGCGCGCCCGCCCGTCGACCCTATGCCCGGCCCGCCCATCGACCCTAGGCCCGGCCCGCCCGTAGCCCCTACTGCCCCGCACGCCCGTCGACCCTAGGCCCCGGCCCGCCCGTTGAACCTAGGCCCGGCCTACCCGTCGACCCTAGGCACGGCCCGCCCGTCGACCCTAGGCCCCGGCCCGCCCGTCGACCCCAGGCCCGGCCCGCCTGTAGCCCCTGCTGCCCCGCGCGCCCGTCGACCCTAGGCCCCGGCCCGCCCGTTGACCCTAGGCCCGGCCTACCCGTCGACCCTAGGCCCGGCCCGCCCATCGACCCTAGGCCCGGCCCGCCCGTCGACCACAGGCCCGGCCCGCCCGTAGCCCCTGCTGCCCCGCACGCCCGTTGACCCTAGGCCCGGCCCGCCCGTAGCCCCTGCTGCCCCGCGCGCCCGTCGACCCTAGGCCCGGCCCGCCCGTAGCCCCTGCTGCCCCGCGCGCCCGTCGACCCTAGGCCCCGGCCCGCCCTTCGACCCTAGGCCCGGCCCGCCCGTCAATCCTAGGCCCGGCCCGCCCGTCGACCCTAGGCCCGGCCCGCCCCTTGACCCTAGGCCCGGCCCGCTCGTAGCCCCTGCTACCCCACGCGCCCGTCAACCCTAGGCCCCGGCCCGCCCGTTGACCCTAGGCCCGGCCTACCCGTCGTCCCTAGGCCCGGCCCGCCCGTCGACCCTAGGCCCCGGCCTGCCCGTCGACCCTAGGCCCGGCCCGGCCGTAGCCCCTGCTGCCCCGCTCGCCCGTCGACCCTAGGCCCCGGCCCGCCCGTCGACCCTAGGCCCGGCCTACCCATCGACCCTAGGCCCGGCCCGCCCGTCGACCCTAGGCCCTGGCCCGCCTGTTGACCCTAGGCCCGGCCTACTCGTCGACCCTAGGCCCCGGCCCGCCCGTTGACCCTAGGCTTCGGCCTACCCGTCGACCCTAGGCCCGTCCCGCCCGTCGACCCTAGGCCCGGCCTGCCCGTCGACCCTAGGCCCGGCCCGCCCGTAGCCCCTACTGCCCCGCACGCTTGTCGACCCTAGGCCCCGGCCCGCCCGTTGACCCTAGGCCCGGCCTACCCGTCGACCCTAGGCCCGTCCCGCCCGTCGACCCTAGGCCCGGCCCGCCCGTCGACCCTAGGACCCGCCCGCCCGTAGCCCCTGCTGCCCCGCGCGCCCGTCGGTCCTAGGCCCCGGCCCGCCCGTTGTCCCTAGGCCCGGCCCGCTCGTTGACCCTAGGCCCGGCCTACCCATCGACCCTAGGCCCTGCCCGCCAGTCGACCCTAGGCCCCGGCCCGCCCCTCGCCCCTGCAGCCCGCGAGCCGTCCTTGCAGCCCCGCGCGCCGCCCTTTGCGACCCGCCCGTCACCCCTAGGCCCGCCGGCCGCCACTAGGCCCCCGAGCTGCCCCTCTTGCAGCCTGCGCACCGCCTCTTGCAGCTGGCTTGCCGCCCCTTGCTGCTGCCTGCCCTGTTCCCTGCGCTGCCCGGATTCTGCCCGCCCTGCGTGCTGCGCCACTATGGCATCTCTCCGCGTTCTCGCGTTCGATCATGAGGGCCGCCCGATCCAGTTTGACATGTGGCTCGACGACCTATAGCTGTACCTACTGAGCGACTCTAGGGACAGCGTTTCGTTGTTTGACCACACGTCTGGCGCCGCTCTTGCCCCTCCCGCCACAGCTGACAGTGCGACTCGCTCACAGTGGCTTACTCGTGATGCTGCTGCTCGCTTAGCCATTCGCAACCACCTACCGTTAGCCGAATGCGCTCACTTCGGACAGCACAGGCACTGTACGACGCTGTAGTCGCCCGTTACTCCTCGCCTACCACTGCTGCTCTAGGCCGTCATCTACTACCCTACATTCACCAAGGCACTTCCGCCTGGTGATCATCAGCGTTTCTCTACTGTGTTAGGCCTTGTGCCTACATTGCCTCACTTGCTCACTACGTGACTTTACTTGTACTGTGATCTATATATATACCTGCATGCTTACACTTGTTAGGGTATGATCACTGTATTGTTTGTTCTCTTTTATATAACTCTGCATATGAACTGGCCTTGTGGCCCTTTGCTTGTGCTCGGACTGTGTGGTGACTTTGTGATCCACCCTGAGCTTGCTTTGCTTTTCTTGACTGGTCTTGTGACCACTTGTTCTCCCCCACTTTGCCTATGGGGGTGTGTCAAAATGTTATATAGCTTACTAGTGTAGGCTATAGTGGGGTAGCCCATAAGGGGTACAACCCGATTAGGGTTAGTACTTCTACCCAACTTCTTTTCAATGCATTCATTCTCGTTCATTCCTTTGATAGTAGTCGCAGTACAAGGACCAGAAGTTTCATGCCCGCTTGAAGAACATGTTGCAGAGTGGGGATTGGGAGTCTACATACCCAAACATTGTGCACCTGTGGGTGGCGGTTGCTGTGCTCCCGGTCAGCACTGTGGATTTTGAGCGTGGTTTTAGCCGCCAAAGCATAATCATATGTGGATTTCTAGCGACCTCTGCTACGCCAGGCTCGCGGTTCTCATCGGCATCTCTCTGCTTGAATACGAGCCGGACTGGGACGATGTCGTGAAGCTGTGGTGGGGTGCAAAGAAGCATTGCCCTGCAAGAGAAGTGAGTGGTGTGGCCAAGAACACCAAGCACAAGGCGGCAAAGGCAGATGATCCTGCACCAAAGGCATTAGCTGACGAGGAGCCTGCTGATGCAGAGCAGAGGTGTAGGAAGAAGGACAAGGCAAATGTTGTTAGCGATAGTGAGGATGAGGATGCAGTAGACATCCGTGAATTTCGTGCAACTACAGCACTGAATAGTGAGTTTGACTCTGAATAAGATATGATGACTAAAGAAATGTATCGTGTTGTCCAATGAGCTACTTTGTAGTGTTGCAATCAGCATTCTAGTGAAAAATGACATAGACGTAGTTTTGGCTGAATTCTGATTTATCAGACAAGCAACCATACCGTATCACCTCGGATAGAAGCACAGGCCTATTAAAAGCGCATGCGCTTATATATGGAGCAATGCACTTATGGCCGATCCTCAATTATAATCCCACCCCCTGTTGTTAGAATGGTCTAAGCTATTAGCGGAAGCTATAGTAGTCTTAGAACCTCCTCCTAAAGCCTAGGAATCTTAGGAGCCAACTTGGGCATGAACCATGCTAGAACCAAAGTGGTTCCCAAGAAGTGAAGTTTCAACAAGAGAGAACCCTAACCTATAGGGTTTGGGAGGTGGCCCACTCTATAGAGTGTACACCACAAGTTCTCCCAACCCAACCAATGTGTTCTACACTACTATAGTGTAGATGTATCACTACATATGTTTATTGGAGCAACCCAAATTAACCTTAATTCCAACACCCCCCCTTGCTCCAATAAGCATTAAAGTTCACCCATAAATCAAAACACAACCCCTCTAGCGAATGAAGCCCTGGCCTTCGCAGCCATCACTCGCATGCCGATGCGCTCCAGGTTCTCATGCAGCTGCAAGCTTGGAAAAGCTTTGGTGAGCATGTCGGCATCCTGGAGGTGGGAGCGTACTGAGTGCACCTCGACCTCCTGCTGGCACACCGCATCCTGTACAAAGTGCCATGCCACCTTAATGTGCTTGGTGCGCTGATGGAGAACGGGATTGTGGGCAAGGGAGACAGCAGCCTCATTATCACAGAGCAATGGAATAGCCCCCCCATCCCCCACATGCATCTCTGCCAACAAACTCCTCAATCAAATGGCCTCCTTGGCCCCCTCCGATAGAGCTTTGTACTCAGCTTCAGAAACGCTTGCTGCAACACTGTCTTGCTTTTTGCTATACCAGCTGATTGCTCCTCCTCCCAGCTTAAAGATGTAGGCAGAGCGACTCTTGCCATCAGTCTCACCACCCCAATCCGAGTCTGTGTACCCAACAACCTGCTCACCACCTTGGCGCTCATACCTGATGACACGATTAGCTGTGTCGACCAAGTACCTGAGTGCTCTCAGTGCAGCGCGCGTGTGAATGCGTCTTGGTACCACGCAGGACTGTGCAAGGGTGTTGACAGTGAAAGACATGTCAGGACGGGTGGTCACAGCAGCATACATCAAGCTGCCAATGAGACTCTGGTACACCTTGACATCAGCTGCAACACCTTCCTCAGTCGACCAAGTACCATTCCTGATCTTAGAGAGATCATTGGGTGACATTGGAGTATGCACCCTATGGGTCTCCTTCAGCAGATCACCAAACCTTCCCTGGAGACCACGGACATACTTCTCCTGACCAATCTCCAACCACCCATCCTTGACCGACCTGCGAACCTCCACACCAAGGTACGTGGATACCTCACCTAGATCCTTCATCTGGTACCTCTGAGCAAGCACCTCCTTGACCTGACCGATCAGCTCCAAGCGTGGAGACATACACATACACCAATACATACACTGGCTCCCATACACCCATAGTGCGCATTGCATTTACCTCCTTCTCAGCGCCTGCCTTCCACGAAGGGCCTTCAGGGCCACGCAGAGCCTCAGCGAGTGTGCGTGGGACATCACCGGTGCTCACACCTGCCAGTGCAACACCTTCCACCTCCCTGGCCAAACACAGCATGCCCTCAACCACACCAGCATCCCCCCCTACCTCCTCACCACTTGTACCAGACTGGATACCAAGCACCTGCAAACCCGTAACCGGTGGTGGGGAGGTAGTCGCTGGTGACGGAGGGGCACTCGTAGAGAGAGGGACAGAGCGCTGACCAGAGGAGGAGGAAGAGGAAGTAGCCTGTGTAGCGGATCTCCGCTGAATGACCGAGGGGCCACTGAGCTGCTGCAAAGGGGTGGGCTGCTGCTGCATCGACACACTCAGCGGTGCCGGTGGCAGTGATGAAGGTGGCATCTCAACGTCGTCAGCCGGTGCTGAGGGTGGCGAGAGTGGAAGAGGGAGGAGTTGGGAAATCGCAGCTGCATCCTGCAGAAGCTCCCCAAATCCCTTTGCCTTGTCCCAATCCTTCCACATCACATTCTCAAGAAAATCAACATCCCGAGCAATGCGAATGCGCATGAGAGAAGGGTCCAGCATGCGCCAACCCTTGCTCTCCATGTCCACCCCAACACAGACACACATGACAGCCTGTGCATCAAGCTTGCCACCCTTCTCATGCCCATGTTGCATGACACTCCCCATGCAACCCCAAATCCGAGCCATGCCCACATGCGGCTTCTGGCCGGACCACGCCTCCATTGGTGTGATGGAGGCAGGCAAAGCACTGTGGGTGACCCTATTCTTAACCCACACGACCCACATCAATGCTTCACCCCACAAGCGAGCAGGGAGACCACTGTCGACCAACAATGTGCGAATCCCCTCTGCCATCGTCCTGTGCCACCTCTCCACGACCCCATTCTGCTGCGGTGTATCTGCGACACTAAATTGGGTTTTGATGCCAAACTCCGCTTTCCATGCTTTCACAGCGTCCCCCAAGAACTCGCCACCCCTGTCGGAGCGAACAGCCTTCAGCTTCCGCCCACACTCCAACTCCACGTCCTTATGCCACTGGCGAAGAACTTTTGCGACTGTGGCCGATTCCTTGTTGGGGAGTGGGAACGACCAAACTCGTCTGGTGAAGTCGTCAATGAGACTGAGGACATACACCGCTCCTCCCAGTGACGGTGTGCGCACTGGCCCCCACAAATCCATGTGGACCTCATCCAAAGGCCCAAGTGCCCGAGACGCCTCGTGGGGAAACGGCTTCCGAGCCGACTTTCCCAATAAGCAAGGTTCACATGGGGAGCAATCAGTGCTCTCCCCCCCGATCTCCAAGCCCAGTACACAGTTCCCCCGAGCCATCTGTTGCAATGTTGTGGGGGCGGTGTGACCAAGGCGGCGATGAGCAAGGGTCAATGGGGAAAATGAGGAGGACCCAGCTACAAGAGCACTGCCTTGTGTGCCCCGAGCAAGAGGAAGAGACATCTGCACCAATCCATGGTCCCTGCCCCTCTCCTTTTCTCCAATCGCCAACACCCTCTCCCCCTGTTTAAGAACACATTTCTTGCCCTTGAATGTGACAATGACATCTCGAGAGGTGGGGTGTGGGACTGACAGCAGACGCTTGTGCATCTCAGGCACAAGGTGGACCTTTTGAATCCTCAGCAGCTGACGTCCAGCACCAACCACTGGCACCTCACCCATGCCAACAGCTTTCACCACCCGTCCATCTCCCAATCTAACTCCCCGAACCTCTGGTGGCTGAAGCTTACTTTTGAAGTCCGATGCATAAGGAGTAAAGTTGTGGCTGGCCCCACTGTCAATCCACCACCCCTCTCGTGGCTGCTCCTCTCCCACTGCTGCAACTGCCTCTCCAACCACTGCCTCTGCCTTGTCATCCTGCTCCTCCTCATCCGCCACCTGTGCCTTGCCGTTGGATCCACGACCCCCCCGCTTTAAGAATGCCGGAATGCCTCCCTTAGGTCGATGAGGACATCGCTGCCATGCATGTCCCTCATCCTAACAGCCATGACACAACCCCCGAGGAGCCATGCCCTTGGACCCCCAGGGGAAATCAAGCACTCCCGCTTTGCCTTTTCCTTGACCCCATCTACCCGAGTTGGTGTCACTGCTGTTACCGCTGCCTCCATGCTTTTTGCCCTTGTCCCCATTTCCCCTGCCGCTGCTGCCCACTTTCGTACCCGCTCCAAAAGTGGCTACACCATCCGATCTTGGTGCGACACCAATCCGCATCTCCTCGCTCCTCAAGGAGGTAAGCAGCTGATCCTTAGTAAGCGATGGTGATTGGTTGTTCAGCACTACCTTCAGCATCTCAAAGTGAGGAGGTAGTCCTTTGAGTACCCTCATCATCCACTCCTCAACCTCCTCCTTCCCTCCTGCAGCCAAGTACTTGGACCTCAAGTCCTCGGCACGCGCCCAGTATGCAGCCACTCCCTCCCCTTCTTTCATCTTCAAGGAAGAGAGTTCCTCTGAGAGTGCCATCCGGTTACACAATCCACGCTGAAGGTAGAATTCCTTCACTCGTGTGTATGCCGCTGCTATGCCTGCATGAACTCGGGTGACCGCTCTTGCTCCGCCATCAACAGGTGCGTTTCCCAACTCGGTCTTGCCGCCGAACTCCCGTACCAAGCGAATCAACTCATCTGGCACCAAGGCATTGCAGAATTGGGCAAATGCCTTTTGATTTCTCCTCTCCCACTTTAACCGTGCGTCACCCGATGCAGGCCGCTCCTCCGAACCATCAAAGTACCCCCATAGATCGTGTGCCTCTGCCCATTGCTCAAATCGGAAGCTCCAAGTCCAATAGTCGCTCCCGTCGAACTTTGGCGCACTCTCCAGCTTCCCTTCGCCTGAGTCATGATCCATTTGCGGCAGGAGCACTGAAGATTGACGTTGAGGTGGTGGTGGAGGCAACGGCGGTGACGGTGAAGTTGATGCGGGCAGATTCACACCCTCTTGGTTATTAGAGCGTAACTCCGTGCTCCAAAGTCCGAATGATGAGCCGTTTAGCTCAGATGAATCCTTGCTCCAAGACCGTTCCGATGATGTATCGCGCTTCTGGATCCCGCGTCCGAGCTGGCCGCTTAAACTCGTCGAAGTTGGCCGATTTCCCGTCGACGAAGACTCGACCGTTTCTCCCGATTTTTGGCTTGTTGGATGCGCCCTAGCCTCCTCTGTCGGCGTCTGCCCTCCAATCGTTTTTCCGCTCTTTAAATCTTCCCCAATTCACGATTTTCCAATTCGTCCGCCGACTGTATTTCGTGAATTGCGTCCGATCCACTCGTCGATTGGTAACGACCCCGCGGTAATTGTTGTAGATCGTGCTGAGGTCTTTCCAACGGTATGCTGCACGTCTTGATTGGCCAAAGTTGACTGAGCGCCTCCGTGAATGGATGTCGCTCTTCTCGTCCTCCCCAACGGATCCACACTATTTCCAGCAGTTTTCTTCTCTCCTCCTCCCCTCCCACGTCCAGAGTCCGCCACGGTTCAATTTCGGCAGCCCTTCGGGAGGGATTGAAGCTATTTGCTTCCACCAAGGTGTTATGATCAAATTTCTTAAGTAGCTCCTATTCCAACAGATTGCTAGGCCAACCTCGCTCTGATACTATGTTAGAAAGGTCTAAGCTACTAGCGGAAGCTATAGTAGTCTTAGAACCTCCTCCTAAAGCCTAGGAATCTTAGGAGCCAACTTGGGCATGAACCATGCTAGAACCAAAGTGGTTCCTAAGAAGTGAAGTTTCAACAAGAGAGAACCCTAACTTATAGGGTTTGGGAGGTGGCCCACTCTATAGAGTGTACACCACAAGTTCTCCCAACCCAACCAATGTATTCTACACTACTATAGTGTAGATGTATCACTACATATGTTTATTGGAGCAACCCGAATTAACCTTAATTCCAACACCTGTAAAAACCTGACTTATTATAAGCGCATGTATAATATTAAATTTGAATCTTGATTAAAACGGTAACGCATTTCAATTTTGCAGCGAGACAACCACCAATTTCGCTTCGATTGACTCTCGAGGACCTTACATCCTGCGCGACTAGTCAGTATGTGATGACATTCCTGTGCAATGACATATAATGGCCCCAGTGCGCCGGCAGAGAATCGCTCGCATGCGATTCTGAATTGTGACCCTCTAACATTGCGCTTCGATTGAATTTGCAAGGAGATGTAGAATTTGGTGCGTTTGAATTATATATCTGAATTTGTCCTTATATAAGCGCATGCGCTTATAAATTGACTCAATTATAAGCGCACCCCCCTAAAAAATATTGTTTTATTAAAAGCGCACATGTGCTTCTATCCGGGGTGATACGGTAAAATTTCTGATTCATAAGGCAATGAAATTTCAAAAAGTCTGATGCATCAGGGATGTCAAAATCCTACGGAGGACCCTGATACTCGCACGTGCGTCAGGTTTCACGCGTCTGGTTCATCACGCAGCACTTTTTTCGCTTAAGTTTTGAAAATGGTGTTTTATAACGAATTCTGAGTGGAGCATTAAGTCTGATTAAAGGTTAGCCTGATAAGAGGCCGTAGGAACATTGCCTGAATGGGTTCTCAAGTGGTCACAAGCAGGCTGTGCTGCAGCTTACCCTCATTCCTCTGCAAGGGGCACACCTGCAGCAGCAGCGTTGCCTTGCTCGCTCTGTGAGCCCTGTTGGTGCGGCATGACGTTGGCTCGAATCCACGCCAGCGTGGCATCGATGGCCTGTTGGTCACAGTAAATCCTGTGGAACCCACATCGGGGGGGGGCAGGGCAGCATGGTAAGGTGTATGGACGGCTGGCCTGACACTGCCTTCTCGGCATGGTGCACCATCCATGCTCGTGGGTGCACCATCCATGCACTGGTGAACAAAGGAGAGCAAGCAAGGAAAGAGGAGAGCAGGCGAAAACTGAAGAGAGCAGGTGAGCACAGTGCAGAGCAGGTGAGGACAGTGCAGAGCAGGCACGAGCACGAGAGAGGGTGGAAGATGCAGAGAGCATGCGAGGGTGGGTTGAGAGAGAGTCGTACTCCAGCTGTGGCCGATACCCCTTCAGTGCCCGCTCCTCCTCCTTGCTCTCCCTGCGCTGCTCTCGCCTCACCGCCTTCTCCCATGCACCCCCACTGCCCCCTCCTCCAACACCACCCTGCCCCCCTTCCCCCTCTGCACCAAATCTCCCCTCCCCACCCCCCTGGTCCTCCCCACCCGCCTGCCCCTCCCCACCCGCCTGCCCCTCCCCACCCGCCTGCCCCTCCCCACCCGCCTGCCCCTCCCCACCCGCCTGCCCCTCCCCACCCGCCTACCCCTCCCCACCCGCCTGACCCTCCCCACCCGTCGACGTATCATAGTCGCGCAGCACCATCCCCACCAGCTCGTCCTGGGGCGGGCAGGGGGGAACATGGAGCCGTGGAATCGACTGAGCAACTGCACACGAGTACAGCAGCTGACATGGGCGAGGTGAGAAGCAGGCAGCAGCAATCACCAAGTGCTTTGACACACATCAACACACGCTTGCTTCACGCACCGCTATTGTTTGACACTGCCTCACCAGGGGGGCAATTCCTCTCACCAGGGGGGCAATTCCTCTCACCAGGGGCGTGTGGGCGGGCAGCCACTGGAAGAGCGGTTGGGAGCGGAACCACGTGATCTGCCTCTTGGCGTAGCGCCGCGACGCCTGCTGGAACTCCAAGATGAACGCCACCAGCGCCTCCTGCAATGCCGACTGCAATGCCGACTGCTGCGCCTCCTGCACTGCCTCCTCCTGCGCCCGCTGCACTTCCACCTGCTGCTCTTGCTGCCCTCGCTCCTCACTGGTCCTCACTTGCCCCATGAGGCGCTGGCAGTGCAGCAGGAAGGCCATGGCCTGGCGGTAGCCGATGGCACGTGTGGGCGAGGAGGAGTCCGGCTGCAGCCCCGCTCGCAGCAGCGCCACACTCTCCTCCAGCAGCCCGCCTGCCCGCCGCACGGGCGGAGGGAGAGCACGAGAGAGGGCATGGGAGGATGGGGCATGCAGAGGAAGGCAAGAGATGGATGCATGAGGACTAGGGGGCGCTGTGGGTGGGTGCAAGGCGCATGGATTCGTGTGGTGCAGGTGAGGGCAATGGTGAGAGGAGGGTGCAGCGGACTGGAGTCACGAATGACAAGCAATTGTTCGGTAGAATCTCAAAGGCCGTAAGTCCTTCCACCTAGCAAGCAAGCACCAAGGCTCGCCTCACCCTGCACCACGGCTCGCCTCACCTTGCACCACGGCTCGCCTCACCTTGCACCATCTCTTCGCAGCGTCTATCTATTCGGCGGTACAGCGGCAGGCGAGGGGCGTCCAGGAAGAAACAGTGGAAGGCGAATGGTGGCGGTGACCAGGCAGTGGAAGCAGCAGGCGGGGAGGAGTGTTTAGCCTCGTGGGAAGGCACGGTGATCTCTGATCGAGGGCGGCCCGTGGCCTGAGGGAAGGCAGACACACGCAGGCGGAGACAGGCTTGGAAAACAAAGCTGTGACGTGGAAAGGAGGGAAAATGGTCTTCAAGGTGAAGAGGAGTGAGAAAAGAGGAAGAGAGGGAAGGAGAGGACGGTGGCATGGGGAATTTAGTGTCTCTCACTGTTTCTGGCCTGCTGGATGCCGGACGGACACTCCTCCTCGACTATGCTTTGAGCACTCCTGCCTCTTTACCACTCTTGCCTGCCCCCTCCACACACACACAGTGCCCCCCACACGCACACACTGCCTCCCACACGCACACATACCCTGAGAATCTCAAACGCCCTGGTCAGCCGGTACCAGTCATTCCGTGCCAGCTGGCCTGCTGTGATTGGGTCGCCCGCAGCAGCAAGGGTAGCCAGAGCGGCCTCCCAGTCGCCCTCCTCCGAATACCTCACACGCGGCTGCCTGCTCGCCCACCCCCGCTCCCTCGCCTCTCTCTCTCTCCCTGCTTCGCCCTGCCCCCCCATCTCCTCCTCCATTCCCCCCGCAACCATGCCACCTCCCCCCACACCCACACCCACACCATCGTTGCCCTCCTCGATCCTCCCGTCAGCACTCAACTCTTTCTCCAAGCCGCCCCTCACTGCGTCGGCTGCTGACGCCCTTCCCTCTGCTGCACCCCCCTCACCCCCACCTACTGCCTCTTCTGCCCCACCAACCGCCCCTACGCTCCTCTCATCCCCCCTCTCATCCCCCCTCTCATCCCCCCTCGCCCCGCTCGCCCTCCTCGCGTGCCTGGCTCGCATCACAGCGGCCTCGATCTCGGCCGCAACAGTGCGTTCCAGCACGGGGCAGGAGGGGGGCGTGGCGGGGCGGCCGTGCAGCAGCCATGCGAGGTACAGCCCCGTGCCGCCCACCACCACCGGCACACCCCCCCCCTGCACCACGGCCTCCATGGCAGCGCGCGCCGCCTCGTAGAAGTCGCCTGCTGTGAACTCTGGGGGTGTGCAGCGCAGCGGGATGAAAGGGGGCGGGAGGAGGGGGCATGAGTTTGAGAATTCTCAAAAGTAACACCAATATAGCCCCTTGTGAACCCTGGGGGGGGTGCAGCGCAGTGGGATGAAGGGGGGGGGAGCAGGGAGGGGGGAGTCTACTTTTGAGGCACCTCAAAAGTGCGCGCCGCCTCGTAGAAGTCGCCTGCCGTGAACTCTTGGGGGTGCGCAGCACAGCGGGATGAAAGGGGGGGGAGGAAGGGGGAGTATACTTTTGGGGAGGAGGGAGGAACCTCAAAAGCGTGTGCCGCCTCGTAAAAGTCTCCCCCATGAACTCTGGGGGATGCAAAGGCAGGATGAAGGGGGGAGAGGGCATGCTCCTACTGACATTCCCCTCCTGACATTCCCCTCCTGACATTCCCCTCCTGACATTCGCCTCCTGACATTCCCCTCCTGACATTCCCCTCCTGACATTCCCCTCCTGACATTCCCCTCCTGACATTCCCCTCCTGACATTCCCCTCCTGACATTCCCCTCCTGACATCCCCCTCCTGACATTCCCCTCCTGACATTCCCCTCCTGACATTCCCCTCCTGACATTCCCCTCCTGACATTCCCCTCCTGACATTCCCCTCCTGACATTCCCCTCCTGTCATTCCCCTCCTGACATTCCCCTCCTGACATTCCCCTCCTGACATTCCCCTCCTGACATTCCCCTCCTGACATTCCCCTCCTGACATTCCCCTCCTGACATTCCCCTCCTGACATTCCCCTCCTGACATTCCCCTCCTGACATTCCCCTCCTGACATTCCCCTCCTGACATTCCCCTCCTGACATCCCCCTCCTGACATTCCCCTCCTGACATTCCCCTCCTGACATTCCCCTCCTGACATTCCCCTCCTGACATGCTCCTGCTGACATGCTGCTGCTGATGCCCTGTGTGTCTCATCGCCATCATCAAGCTCCCTCCCTGCACGCACCCTGCACCGTACTCGCACCATTCCATTACCCTCACCTTTCTTGCCCCTCGCCCACTGCACGGCCCAGCCACCTCACCACGCCCCACCCACCTTGCCCCACCTCGCCACGCCCCACCGCCGTGCCCCACCTTGCCCCACCGTGCCCCACCTTGCCACGGCTCGCGGATGTCCAGCAGGTGGTGTGGCACGCGGCGCTGCTCGTCAGGGGAGGCCTTGGCGGAGCCAACGTCCAGTCCGCGGTACACCTGCACCGAGTCTGCACTCACCACCTCGCCGCCCCGCACCGCCTCCGCCACCGCCAGCGCCAGCCGCGACTTGCCCACTGCTGTGGGCCCCGATATCACAATCACCCGCCGCCCCTGCCCCTGCCCCTGCCCGTGGTCTCTCGCCCCCCGTGGCCGCCCCGCTGTTGCCCCCCGATCTAGCTGCCCGCGGCCTCCGCGCGCGCTCGCCTCATCCTCGCATGCACCGGCTGCCAGGCCTTGCGCCACCACCCCCTCGCCCCTGCCCCCATCGCTCCTCTCCCTCCCCTCCGTGCACCCTTGCTGCGCGTCCCCTCTCGTTCGTCCCTCCGCCTTCCCCCCGCCCTGCTCGCGCAGCCCGTCCAGCCCCTCTGCCCCTGTACCCGCGCTCCTCGCCATGCGCTCACCGACGGCGCGGCTGGCAGTGGCAGTGGCAGTGGCAGTGGCTGCTGCAGGAGCAGGTGCAGGTGCTGGGCCGGCCCTCCCTCGAGCCCCAGTCACTCCCGCGCCTTCACCTTCTCTTCTCCGCGCGCCTGGCGCCGCCCCTCCTCGCTCGCACTCGTGCCCAACGCAGCGACGCACGGCGTCTCGACCGAGCCTGTTTACAAATGTACCGTTGAGCCAACTGTCAATTCTATAAACCGAGTAACCGCCGAGCCTAATACCGAGCAGCATCCCCGTATCGACGAGGCGCGACGGGAGGAGCGCGACGGAAAGGGCCCGCGGGGGGGGGGGGGGGACCTAAGCGCGACGAGAGGGAGGGCCCGCGAGGGGCCTTCCTAAGCGCGGCGGGATGCACGGGGCGACGGGCGGCCTTAGGGGCGACGGGCTGCTCGGGGGGGGACGGGCGGCCTAGGCGCTAAGGGCCGCACGCGGCTACGGGAGGCCTAAGCGCTACGGGCTGCACTGGGCTACGGGCGGCCTAGGCGTGACTGGCAGCGGGGGCGACGGGCTAACGGGACCGCGTGGCGCCAAGGCTAGCGAGGGCGAAGGGCCTAACAGGGCGCGGGGCCACGGTGCATCAAGCGAGTCGTCTACTCAAAAGCCACCTCGTTACAATGGCACGACACATTATTTACAAGGAAAGCTATTATGCCATGGAGGTTACCTAAAAAAGTTGGTTGGCGGTTATTTGATTTATGCTAATAAGAGTTAGTATCTGTTATGAGTGCAATTGAGCGAGCGAGCGAGAATTGCACTATCGAAACAAAACAGTACATTGAGCAAAGGAATGAGCGAAGATTATTTAGAGAAGCTACCAGCGTGGTAACGGTAACGCGAGAAATTGGGGTGCGCTACGGGCCTAGTGACGAGGTTGGGAAATGTCAAGGTGGAGGGCCGGAGCGCGGGTTACCAACCAAACTGTGAGGTTGGGTCGCGTCGTTAACAGTTGCGGGAACAGTGGTCAAGGCTAGTGTCGCGAGTGGTAACAGTGCACCGTTGGGTACTGTTGGCGGGAACAGTCGTGTACGCGGTAAGTAGGGGTGCGAAGTAAGGAAAAAGAAATTTCCTTACACTAAACCCCCCCCCTCCCCCCCCCCCCCTTAAGGAGGCCCACCTTACGAGAGTGCGTGTAAATGCCGGAAGTCGTGACTTCGTAGATACTCGGTGAGGACAGGGTGGTTTTCAATTCGATCCAGGAGCACCCAGTTGTCTTCGGTGGGTGTGCAATCTTTCCAGTGAAGCAGGAACTCGATCCTGAGGGCTCCACGTGGATCACGAACTCGGTGGCTCAGGATATTCTCAAATGAGATTATCGGCTCTGTGGGTGACCGCGTCATGCTGGCTGGGCGGTTTCGTGGCAGTTGGCTGGTGTAGGGGACGTATGGATCGATTAGGCTGACGTGGAACGACGGGCTGACACACCAGTCAGCAGGGAGGAGGAGGTGGGCGGTGACAGGTGTTATCATGTGGCTGATGCGGAATTGCCTGCAATATCATGGGCGGAGTTTCGGAGTGACGGGCAGGCGGAGGTTCTGTGTGTCGAGCAAAACGAGGTCGTCGGGTTGGTAGTTGACTGGGCGGCGGTGACGGTCGGCGTTGCGCTTAGCTACGATGTTGGATTTTTTATGGCGTCTGCAGCTCGGGTCTGGGCGGCTTGTAAAATTTCGGCGAACTGCTATGCCCGTGGGACCAGGTTGTCGGGGTTCGGGTCACGAGTACCGTGGAATTTTGTCCGTAGTTGAGATAAAACGGTGACCGTTGTGTCGTGGCTGACGTGGAGTTGTTGTACGCGAACTCGATGAGTGGCAACTGCTGCTCCCAAGTTGCCGGGTCGTCACACGTGGCTCGGATTAACTGCTCCATGGTTTGGTTTGTCCGTTCTGTTTAACCGTCGGTTTTGGGGTGGTACGATGAGCTGAACTGTAGTCGTGTGCCGAACTACTGCCACAGGTTCCGCCAGAAGTTGCTGGTGATTTTCGTGTCGCAGTCGCTAATGATCGCTGCTGGTATCCCGTGTAGTTGGACGACGGTGGAGATGCAGAGTCGGGTTGTTTTGTCAAAGTGTTATATAGCTTACTTGTCTAGGCTATAGTGGGGTAGCCCATAAGGGGTACAACACAATTAGGGTTAGTACTTGTACCCAACTTCTGTTCAATGCATTCATCCTTGTTCATTTCTTTGACATGGTTTCAGAGCAGGTCCTTCGTTAGGACCGATTTTTTTAGGGCCCACCACAACGCTGCCCCACTAGCCGCCCTGCTGGCTCACGCGCCGCCCTCTGCAGCCCTCGTGCCGCACCTGCTACCCAACGCGCCGCCCTCTTGCGGCCCGCCCGTCGACCCTAGGCCCCACGCGCCTGCCCCCTGTGGCCCGCCCGTCGACCCTAGGCCCCGCGCGCCCGTCGACCCTAGGCCCCGGCCGGCCCGTCGCCCCTACTGCCCCGCGCGCCCGCCCGTCGACCCTAGGCCCGGCCCGCCCGTCGACTCTAGGCCCGGCCCGCCCGTCGACCTTAGGCCCCGTCCGTCAGTCGACCCTAGGCCCCGGCCCGCCCGTTGCCCCTACTGCCCCGCGCGCCTGCCCGTCGACCCTAGGCCCGGCCCGCCCGTCGACTTTAGGCCCCGCTCACCCGTCGACCCTAGGCCCCGGCCCGCCCGTCGCCCCTGCTGCCCCGCGCGCCCGTCGACCCTAGGCCTGGCCCGCCCGTCGCCCCTGCAGCCCCACACGCCCGTCGACCCTAGGCCTCAGCCCGCCCGTCGACCCTACGCCCGGCCCGCCCGTCGCCCCTACTGCCCCACGCGCCCGCCCGTCGACCCTTGGCCCAGCCTGCCCGTCAACCCTAGGCCCGGCCCGCCCGTCGACCCTAGGCCCTGGCCCGCCCATCGCCGCTGCTGGCTCGCATGCCGCCCCTCGCCCCTGCAGCCCGCGAGCCGCCCTTGCAGCCCCGCGCACTGCCCCTGGTGGCCCTCTAGCCGCCCCTACTGCCCTGCTAGCCGCCCCTTGTGGCCCTCTCACAGCCCCTGCAGCCCCGCGCGCCGCCCCTTGCGACTCTCCAGTCGCCCCTAGGCCCGCCGGCACCCCTCTTGCAGCCTGCGCACCGCCTCTTGCAGCCTGCTTGCCACCCCTTGCTGCTGCCTGCCCTGTTCCCTGCACTGCCCAGCTTCTGCCCGCCCTGCTTGCTGCACCGATATGGCTTCTCTCCGCGTTCTCGCGTTTGATCATGAGGGCCGCCCGATCCAGTTTGACACGTAGCTCGACGACCTGCAGCTGTACGTACTGAGCGACTCTAGAGACAGCGTTTCGTTGTTTGACCACACGTCTGGCGCCTCTCCCACCCCGCCCGCCACAGCTGACAGCGCGACTCGCTCACAGTGGCTTACTCATGACGCTGCTGCTCGCTTAGCCATTCGCAACCACCTGCCTCTAGCCGAATGCGCTCACTTCGGACAGCACAGGACTGCACATGCACTGTACAAAGCTGTAGTCGCCCGTTACTCCTCGCCTGCCACTGCTGCTCCAGGCCGTCTTCTACTTCCCTACCTAGTTCCCGAGCTGTCCGCCTTTGCCACGGTAGAGGATCTGGTTACCCGCCTCCGCACTAGCGACGCTCGCTACCGCACTGCCGTCCCAGCAGAGTTCCTTGATAGGAACCAGCCCCCGATGTTCATCACTCTCTACTTTATAGTCACCCGCCTCCCTGACTCTCTTCGCTCTGTCAGGGACCACTTTCTCGCACTTGACCCCACAGTCCTCACTATTGACCTACTCGAGCAGCACCTCCTTGCAGCTGAGACTAGTGTAGTCGCTGTAGGTGCCGCTCGTGGCACTCCTCGCACGCCCTACTTTGAGGGGTGTTCCCCCCTCCTATGCCTCTGTTGCTGCTGTTGACGTCATTGGTGCTGAGGACGTTGGGGCTGCTTCTGCTAGTGGGAAGCATCGCAGCAGCAAGGGCAAGCGTGGCAGGGGTGGTGGCGGTGGCAGCGGGGGTGGTGGTGGGGGCAGCAGTGGAGGTGGTGGAGGCAGTGGAGGTGGTGGAGGCAGTGGAGGTGGTGGCGGTGGTGGGAGTGGTGGTGGGAGTGGGGGCTCTGGTGGCGGCGGTGGTGGCAGCGGTGGGGGTGGCGGTAGTGGCGGCAGTGGGAGTGGTGGCTGTCAGGCTGGAGCTTCTCAGCGAGGAGGTTCTGGCGGTGGCTAGAGGCAGCAGCAGCAGCGTCGGAGCGAGACCCCGTCGCCCCAGCAACTTCGTGAGTGGTTTGCTCAGCGTGGGGCGTCTGGGGGTAGTGGTAGCTGCTCGTATGTCATTCGCACGGGTGACCGTGCTGGTCAGACATGCGGGAAGCTTCATACTCAGTACCGCTGCTTCTCCCACCAGGACGATGCTTGGCGCACAGATTTTGGTGACGAGGCTGAGTGCCCCCGCTGGGTAGAGCTGCTTAGGTCTGGAGTTGCTATATTTGACCTAGACAACGATGCTATCCTTGCTGCCATAAATGCCTTGCTATCCTTGCTATCTGTTAGTGCCATAAATGCCTTGCTATCCTTGCTATCTGTTAGTGCTGAGGGTGATTGTTACCTGTGTTTGCCACCTGACCCAGGTATAGAGGCTGTTGCTCTAGGTGCTAGTGAGTCTGCTCTCCTTGGTACTGCGCCTGCTGAGGCCTTGCACACCATTACGCTTGGCTCAGGTGCTTCACGCTGTTTCTTTTGTGACAGCACCACACTCACTCCTCTCTCTGCACTTGTACCGGTCAGACTGGCTGACCCCTCAGGGGGCCCGGTCCTTGCCCGTTCCTCCAAGGTCCTCCCGTGTCCGACGGTTCCGTCCGGCTCACTGTCAAGTCTTCACCTCCCCTCGTTCTCTACGAACCTGGTGAGTACTGCTGCCCTTCAGGATGCGATGGTCACTACCAACACTCCTGGGGGTCAGCGTGTGTCGATCTGCACATGTACACGGACGGGCTGTCACCTGGCCACGTTCACTCGTCAGCCTGGGTCGAGTCTGTACACACTGGCTACCGAGCCTCCTTAGGTAGCTGCGTCTGCCCAGGTGTCCGCGTCAGGTCGGGTAGCACCCCCTTGCTCGTGTCGCCTCCTGTTGCACCAGACTCTCCTGTGGCACCACCGCCTAGGTCACCCCTCCCTGCCACGCCTTTGTGGCATGCACTCCCGCCTCCTTGTCTCTGGTCTTCCCAGGTCTCTTCCTCCCCTCCCGCCCTCGCCTACCCCGCCCTGCCATC